TGTGTTGGACATATGGGTTAATGTTGGACTTGTGGGCTTGGGCAGCACTGGGTTGGGATGTTTTCTTGATGAGCACTTAACCTTTATATGAAACTCTCTTATACATGAGTTTCTGTGGATTTGTTTCTCTAAAGTACAAATACAGGCTGCAGACTCTGAAAGATAAACTGACTAGGGGTTGGGCAGGATTGGAGGAAACTAAAACAAATACCCAAATAAAACTGCGATGCTTCTTGATCTCGAGACAGGCCCCCAGGTGGTGCTGACCACCAGTGCTCCAAGCTGAGCCGCAATGGCCACAGGTCAAACCCTCCCAAAGGCCCCTGAGGGGCAGATCTGGAGGTCAGCCCTACAGAGCAGCCAGTCCTATGTGCTGCATGCAGGGTCGCCAAGAGCCCCAATTCCCAGATGACAGCTCATAGCTCTCATAGGACACTGAAACTTTACTGTGGGGACATCAAAGATGCAGCTGCACCCCAAGAAATGGGGCTGGTAGCCCCAACACCCCACGGGGAGGCTGAAACCTGGCGGGGGAGGTGGTCATGCTAATGTCCAGACCCTCAGGAGACAGTCCTGGGGCTGCACACCTGCCCACACATCATTTGTAAATTGGGGACAGGCTTGTAGGGCCCTCAAGGTTCAGGAGGGTCTGTTAGAGTAGGGTGGGGGCACAGCCTCTCCCCCCAGAGGGACCTTGTGAGGACACTTTGGTCCCTCTGTTCTGGGTCCAATGTGGCTGGCCGTGGGACAGACTGGCAGGAGTGGGATGGAGGGGGGTCTTGAAGCCTCTGTAGTGGGCTCGTAGGGTGATATGCAGAAGAGAGGCTGCCCTTTGGTGGGCGAACTGGTGTGCAGGGCCCAGCCCCTCCCCGCACCTGGCCGAGGCCCTCGCTGGCCCGCAGCCCCTCGGCACACCAGGCACACGACAGCCTCTGTGAATCTGCCAGGCCACCAGGCTTTATTTGTCAATAGGATGGCGCCTGGCGCATGAGCGGTGGCGTAATCCACTCTGGTCTAGTCCCCAGGGGCCGCCCCAGCTTGTCAACAGGTGTGATCCTGGCTGCATCCCTGCGCGGCCTGACGCACGCCGCAATTAGCTGCTAATGAGGAGAGGAGGCCCGGTGACCCACTCCTCAGGGACTTTGAGGTAAGGGTGTTACGGTAGCAGCAGTGGAGACGGCAGCAGCAGCAGGGAGACCATGAGTGGGGGCCATGAACTCTGGGGTCCCCTCTCTGCTCCAGAGCTGGGAGCAGCTGTGGGAGACAGGGCGGGCGGGGAGGGGGAGCTCAGTGTCCCACCCAGGGTGACCAGCTCACTACTGTCCATGGGCCTGTCCTGCCCTGGCTCTGCAGTGCCCCCCGCCCCACAGGGCCCTTTGCACCCACACTTTCTGTGCACACTCCAAATGATCAAGGCACCCCTAGGGTGGTCTGAGAAAACACTTGCCTGGTGGTTGAGTTGTGAGGTTTCTGGGAGGGCCTGGGGTCCCCTCAGGCAGGTCCGAGGTCTCCCTGGGAGGGTCTGGGGTCCCCACGGGCAGGTCCAAGGTCCCCCTGGGAGGGTCTGGGGTCCCCTCGGGCAGG